GACCTAGAATAACTGACATACCATATTCAGAGGCAGGAAATTTTCTAAAACCATGTTACTCTGTCTTGGCAACATTTAAATGTCATGCTTTTCCATTTGTGTATACCATGTGCCTTGCTGGTGGTTGAGGCATGGCCAGTTGTTCCCAAAGGCCAGTTTGGCCAAGAAGCAAACAAGCTCCAAGTGGAGTGTCTTTAGTGCTAAATACTGTCTCAGAAATAAATCGGTGCTGCCAGGAGCAATCATGTCTCACTTCAAGAGAACCCTAACTTACTTAACACTATATTCTACAGCTCATTGAAGTGGTTGAAGATTACCTATCTATGCAGAATATAATCTCTATGTATCTAAAGAACCTATTCATGGGATGGAGAGATGACTCAGAGGTTAAGAGCACCAACTGCTCTTTCAGAGGTCCTGAGTATGATTCCCATCAACCACAGGTGGCTCACAACCATCTATAATGAGATCTGGTACCCTCTTCTGCCCTACAGGTATACATGCAGACAGAACAGTATATACATAATAAACAAATAATTCTTTAAAAAAAAGAACCTTATTAGTCTATCAGTATGACAAAAATTGATGACTCTTGATCTATAAATCTTAATACTTATATAACTTAAAGACTAAAAGTTCATATTAGAATATTATACAATAAATGTGCAACAAGTGCAGACAATGACCTCAAAATGTAAACAATGTATAAATATCTTGATTAGAGGTAGAAATGTACATTGCAATATGATAAATATATATCAACATATAAATGTGATTTAAGCAGAGATAGAAGCATTCATGCATATAATATTCAATAAAATTTAATTTGTATCAATATACAACAATCTATACCAATCTAATTGCCTATAAATAATAACTCACAAGTATTCACTCTATTACTCACTATTATTATTGGTATGAGTATGCTCATACTAATCTATTATCTATTGTACAATTTTCCCTTTTTTTCAAAGAGATCCCTTAGCCTATAAAATTTCCCCATTTTGAAATAAACCAGTTGATTTAATTCAGAAAACTTTCCTATTAACCAATTTCCCTCCTTGCTGTTGTTCTTTCTCATTAGTGTTAAGAAAATTCAAGGTTAATAAAGCATGATAATTTATTTATGGGGTCATTTTCTACCCCTTTCTGTTTGTTTAACACATCCTTTATAGTTCAATTTGATCCTTCTATAACTGCCTGACCTATAGGATTGTGCAGTATACCTGTAATATGCTAAATAGTATAATAAGCAAAAAATGGTTTCATTTTCTTCGAGACATCCACTGCACCATTATCTATCTTTATTTGTTCAGGTATAGCCATGATGGCCATAATTTCTAATAAGTGAGTCATTACTGAATCAGTCTTTTCTGAACTTAAAACAGTTATCCACTGAAACCTGAATAAGTGTCAATGGTATAGTGTACATACCTTAAATTTCCAAAATCTACAAAGTGATACACATCCATCTGCAAGATTTTATCCTTTGAGTACCCTTTACGTTAGTTCCTGCAGGTAACAGTGTTTGGTTATAGAAAGAGAAAGTAGGGCATCTCTTTATAATGGCATTAGCTTGTTTCCATGTAATAGTAAATGCTTTCTTAAAGCATTTGCTATTGACATGATGTTTTTTATGAAGTGCTGAGTCCTGCAACATATTTCCAATCAATAATTGATCAATTTCTGCATTACATTGTTCTAGAGGACTTGGCAGACACGTATGGGATTGGATGCGTGTTATGTATATAGGACAAAGCTAATTACTGATTATATCTGGCACCTGGATGAATAATAAAGTCAATTCTGTATCATCTGGTATAAATACAGTGGTTACAATATGCAAGACAACTCTTTCTGCATATTGTGAATCTTTTAAAATCCCTTAACACCGTGAGAATAGTGTATAATTCTGCCTTCTGGATAGAATTATAAGGGATTCTTTCCACCTTATTTAATTCATCTGATTTGTAACCTGCTTTCAATGATTTATTTGCATAAGTAAAAAATGTACAGACTCCAGTTATTGGAGCATCATGTACAATTCAGGGAAGAATCCAAGAAGTTCTTTTTATAAGTTTAAGTCTATCACTTTTGGGATAATTGCTATTAATGTATCCAAAAAATTAGCACAAGCTCTTTGCCATGGTTCATTGTCTTCCCATAACTTTTTAATTTCATCA